CAGAATTCTTATGCATTTCTCGCAAAAAAAGAGAGATTCTTATTGCAAACAATACGTGCAGATTTTTTGTGAAGTCTCCATTTTCTCCCGTTTTTATTTTTGGAAATCGATACATGTCATCATCTGTTTTCATTTTTGGAAATCGATACATGTCATCATCTGTTTTCATTTTTGGAAATCGATACATGTCATTATCAATATCTAGTGCCCCCTCCGTCCGGAATTATATCTAGTTTGAAATATATCCATTTCTGCGACAGGTAATTCGGGGCGGAGGGAGTACTCACTTAAATGTAGGAGCAAGTATTGATGTTGAATTTTAAGTTTTCCACATGACGTCTTGACTCAGGCACTTAACTGTCTGACGTATTAAGAGTCAAGTCTTTGTCTCTATTGTGACTTGTCTCCAGCACCACTGCGTGTCCGCCAGGTCAAGTAATTATCGGGTCACCATCAGCGATGACTGACTTCCAATAGACTAAGACTGATGCCACCTAGCTCGTGTTCTTCAAAATTAAGGTTCATTTGCAACTACTGGCTGGGAGAAGGATTCAAATTGGTCACCATCAGTATCGTGTCCTCCGGTGGGGTTTGTTCAACTTAATGTTAATGCTTTTTTGACCATGATTTACTCAAGGGTACAATTAGGGCTGTCTTAAGATATGGCAAAGGTAGATTTATTGCTGGGAAAATTGTAAGATTGACTGGTGCGCGGATATACTGATGGCTGAAGCTCTGGCCCTAAAATTCGGTCTATCGCTGGCGCAAAGGACGAGATGCAACCGCATTATAACAAAATTGGATAGCATGGAGGTGATTGATACCATGAAGGAAGAAGGACGATTGTCGGGGGCTGCGGCGGCAGTTTTTGATGATTGTTTTCATTTTGCTTGTGATTTTCCTATTTGTAGATTCGAGCACTGAAATGAAGAAGCAAATAAAGTTGCTCACAAACTTGCAATTGGCTAGATTTCCTTTCATTTCTGATTGGTTCGAGGAGACAAAAAGTGAAATTGTACCAATCCTCATAAACGATGTGATGGATATTTCTAATGAATACAACTATTTTTTTTAAATGTCCTTCATGCTACTAGCAGTGTACACCTCACAGCTGTTACACCGTACTCTATCACCTAGAAATGTTTGTTTCTAGCTAATGGAAAATGAGCTCCCAGTGTGTTTATTTTAGAGTGAATTTCATTTTTTGCCCCTAGATTTCACATTTGTGACAATATTTACTCTATTTAGAAAAAAACATTATGAATCAGTTTAGCGAAGCTGGTACCACAAATTACCTCGTTTTTTTCGTCTCAGTGCTAACTAAGCATGCCATGTTGTCGGTTTATTTCGACTTCTGGTTTTCTCCTGGTCCAGGGCGGTAGCGGATATTTAACAGGCTAGACCGGGCAGCTATTGGTGCTCTGGTTCGTGCAGAACGTGCGTGTGGCCTCGTGGGCCTAAAGTGGTTGGGCAGTTGGCTAGGCTGCGCTGCTGTGGCTACTGTTTCGGCCCAGTGAACAGTGCCCTTTTTAATTCCATTTAATTTGAACTAGAGAGTTAATGTGGCTCAAAAATTGCCATTCCAAATCCAAATATCACATATACTTCCACAAAAATAGTTGGGTATCGTAAATTATAGGAAAAATATTTGCAGCACCAATGCAGTTTTTAAAATCCGTTTTTGATAGGCATTAATATGGACGTTAAATAAATCCCTAAATGAATTAGGGTTTATTAAATAGCAAAATTAATCCCTTGAAATTTCCAAAATGCATGTAAATCATGAAATGCATATGCATGGTTTGTGAGCATCTATATTCAAAAAGAATTTGTGATGTGACACCATGATCAATCTATGGTTGTTTATTCAGCCTTGGTTACTACTATAGTAACTTTTATCTTTACCCGCAAAAAAACTTTAATCGTTACTACGACTAGACTATGCCTATTGGTCTTGCCCCCTCTTCTCCATTGTTTGCAACATAAGCTATGATATAGTCGACAACTTTGACTCCGCCTGACATGTCTAGCTCCTCCTAGTAGTACCCCCCCTCCTGCTGTGGAGTATTCCTACATTTTCTCCAAATATTCGGAGTCTAAATTTATAGTAGATGAGTAATGTAATTCTAAAAAAAAACAGATGAGTAATGTATGCTCTAACACTACTACTGGGGCCAAAGGGCCACGACAATGTACTTTGCAAATATCTTGCAGGAGTCAAGTCTTAGTTAATTTCATGTGATCATCGGACTTCACGAGCTGTTAGAACCTCTCATGGTTCCTATTCTGCCATGATCGTCGATCTTTCCCAGCTCGGGAAGTAACAAGTCACAATTCAATACACTCTATAGAGGTGCGCTACTTTACCCATGATTGTTAACTTAGCATTTATGTCAGGAAATTAAATAATTAAGGAAATTTGCACTCGGACTCTACTACAACCTCACTGCTGAGTTCCTCCTCCTCCTGTGTCATACCATGGATTGCTCTAAGCTCATGGCTTTGTACCATGGCTATTCCAGACTCGTGACATGGCCATCAAACGGTGATTGTGCTCTCTTGGGTCCAATTGTGCTATTTGGGTACTGTTGAGGCACTGTACTATTTTCCTGAGCTTGTTGAGGTGGTATTTGAGGGTTGATATGGCTCTGTGCATTGCGCTTGTGCTTGTTGTATTGGCTTGGTTCCATAGCTTGGGAAATTCCCAATTTCCAGGATTATAAGCTATTATTCATGTCCATATGGTCATGTTTATGTTTTATTTGTGCATCCTAGGGTCACTTGCTCGCTCTTTGGCTTGTTAGTATGCTAATTATGACATGTTTAACTCGTAATTGTCTAAGTTCACTGACATGGCATGATGTACTTGCGTAGCACTCTTGGTAAGTTAAAGACGGTAAGGAAACCATTCATTCCACGCTATGTTTTTTTTACTTTCACGCATGGATAACTTGGAGGGGGTCATCTACTTCGACTCTTGATCGGCAGATCGTCTCAGAGAAATTCTCGTGCTGGGAGGTATAACCTAGCTGTGGGAATTGTCGCGCTTCACGAACTTCTTACGGCTTCCGCAACTCTGCTAGTTTGTGAGTTTGATCGTTACCCGCCATCTTAATAGTTGTCCTGGGCGTGATCGTGTAGCATATTTTTTGTTGTTGCGCGACACGTTACCCAGGGCCGTCTCCAGAAATTTGGGGCCCCGGTGCGAAATGCGGAATGGAGCCCTAAAATTTTGAATATTCTTATGATACAATCGAAGCATACTCTCATTTATCGATATAACTTCAGATACATGTTACTTCGTATAAACTTAGAAATATATCAAATACAATTCTAAAGAAAACTGAATAAATGTAATACTAAAGCAATAATCTGATCTCCCGATCTACCGAAAAGCATCATCCGTCTAGTATTTCTTGAACGAAATCGTCAATTATATCTTCGTAATACCTTCCACAAACAATTTGGCTGCATAGCAGAAGATGACATGAACAAAATTAATAAACCTGTGCACATGTACACAAAAGATGGAAATGATAAAATTACATAATGGTTCAATATATTATTTCTGAAGATGAATTGATAAGAAAAACATAATTGTTCAATATTCTGTATACACCTTAACATAATTATCTATCATAAAAGAATAGTCTACAGTAGTAAAAAATTGAGGGTGTCTAAATTAGTAAATTATAAGTAGGTTTAGTAAAAAAAAGATGGAGCACTAGGGCCCATGCAATTTCCTGCAAGCCTAGTGCGTTGTTACATTGAGAAAAATAGCTACCCACAAAGAAAATGAGGAAATAGTTGCCACCTGTCCTACGTCGT